TTTAAATCATTTTTTGGTTACATTTTCGCTTCTGATTTTTTTGTTGTTGTTGTTTAGTGTATTTTTTTGGATTTTTTGGCATTATATTTTTTTTGTTGGGGATGGCTGTGTTTATTAACTATGCATCGTTCGAATCAACTTTACGAGCGGCTGGGGGAGCGTGAATCAATGCTTCCATCAGGGTTTTTAATTGATGCCGGATTGCCTAATTTGTTCCCATCCTATTAATAACGCGTCGAGTATTTACAAAACCAAAAATTCGTAATAGGCAGGAAAATGCACAAAAAAAAATTTTTACATGTTGCATGTAAATTCAATGCTAAATATTCAAGATACATCCATTTAAAAAAAATACAAATCTAATTGAAAACATTTTGCTCTTTCCTTGCAACAATGAACAAAAATTTATTAAATCATAAGATTAAGAATTCAGTAAAATTATAATTTCCTAAATTACTTTTGTTATATAATGAAACTTAGTTGATATTTTTTTACTAATTTGATGTAAAAATTGCTAGGAATAGTAAATTTACATTGATTTGATAAATATATTAAAATGAACCTCACATAACGAGAAAAATAAATTTTAAGAAAAATGACTTGCAAAATGGAACGCATTATCGTATATTACATTACTTTATATGGGGAAAATTGATTCATTGTTCGACCAAAAATCCGGATATTTTAGAACGGATTATGGTCGTTAAGCGAGGTTTCACTGTAGTTAGAATTGCGAAATAACATACAAATAACGAACAACTTAATGACCGATTAATGTTACTTTTGAGAACTAACACTAATACTGATATGAAGCTTAAACTGCTACTTAAATCGATATTTGGTTAACGAACAATTCGGTTATCGAACATCTTTGAAAGGATTATGTGTATTCCAAAAAAAAAATGAATATTTAGAAATCTGTAAAGCAAGCATTAATGAAATATTTGTATACAAATGTGTAAATAATAATTACATTTATTGATAAAACCAATTTAATTTACGTTTTATGAACGAATGTTTACAAATGAAAGGTTTAAAGCAAAATAATCATTAATATTTTATAAAAATATATAAATTATAAACTAAATGTGTAAATAATATATTTTCATTAATGAAACCAATTCACATTGAAATTAAAATTCATATTTTATTCTGTTTTCATTAAAACATGAAGAATTAATACGTGTGTTAATAATAAACCAAAATTATATATTTATTTTAAAAACTATGAGTATATTTGTGCATTTATCAATGAAATCCACTCATTTTGAATTATTATTACCTAATCGATAAAATGTGTCCAATGAGTCGAGTGTTTGCTAAACTAAATATTGAAATTATATTAATATTATTAATTGAAATAAATACAAATTAAGATTTTATGTTTATAATAAATCTAGAAAACTAATAAACATATTGATTAACCACAATCGAAATTATATTTTATATAAAAAAAATGATTCGCTTAACGAGCGACGTTTTGCATAACGAGTGACGATGAGAAGAGAAGTCCCGAATTCCGCGCCTGCTACGGATCATTTTTAAAGCTTGTGTGCACATATTATGTGTATTTTTGAATATGTGTAAAAATCCGAAAATTTTGGAACGGATTGAACTCGTTAAGCGAAATTCCACTGTATTAAAAACTTTTAAATTTGGTCAAGGATTTATTTATAAATTAAATGTTTTAAATATACCTAAAAAAAAATATAAAATATATTTTACATGTAAATATAAATTTTTGTAATGAAATTTAAATAAAATAATTGAAAAACTCGAATTGCAATTGGAAATTCACGTTTTAAATTTAGTTGTAAATAAATCACGGAACTTTGGGACGAGTTAAAAACACGTTTTCAATACCAGTTTGTTCATCTGTAAATTAATCTGTAAACATTTTTCGAATAAACCATTTAGTTGACATTTCCGTTTAACTTTTTTTTATTGTCAATCACAGTGAACGAACTTTCAAGGTTATTTCTTTGCTTTCAAATATAAAAAAATATATAATAATTATTTAAATTGAAAAATGAACATCGGAGTCTATAATATATAATAATTTTTATAAAAGTTTAATTCTTATAAGCTCATATTTATATAAATTTATGATTTTTTTAAGGATTTTAACTACTAAATAGTTAACGCAAAGTAATGTACATAGAGAAATTAAGTTGGTTTCTAAAGGGATTTTGAATCTCCCGCACTATTATTTTTGTATTCAATTTGTCTTTTTATAAGTTTCTTATGTATTTATTTGGTTTTTATGTTTATTCTTATACAATTTTCGATTTAATTGTTAAATTAATTATTAATAATAACAAGTTTTCTATGATTTTTTTTGTTGCAATTTATATAAAGATAAAATTTCACATAAATATTGATAATTCATATAAGATATTATTAACTAAAACAATCCATTTCCATTAATTCAAGAGGAAAATCCTATTATATTTTAAAATCCTTGCAAATTACAAGAAATTTTTTTACAAATGACTAAAAATGTATAAGTGATTTCGTGAATAATATCAAAGAACTATTGTTTAAAACAATTGAAGCATAGAAAACGTGTTATTTCGGACTAAAATCGTATCAGCTAATACACTGTATACAGCAAATGTAAACGTGCGTAATCTTATTCGTCTTACATTTTCTTGCTAATAAAAAAGTGTTTTTTTTTATCTGTAAGACCATTAAAAAACAAATAAAAGAAATAATAGATAAACGCAGTAATTTGTTTTAACGTTCTGTTTATTGCACAATGCGAACGTTAATCTTTATTTTTGTTGAAGTATTCATCCATTGGTAAAGTAACTATATAACTTAAGAATATATATTTAAACTCGGCGAAGCTTTTTTTTCTTTCTTTGCACACAAAATAAGGTTGATTTATGAACGTTAATGCCCAGAAAATGCTGCGCGGAATACAAGATTAGTATTTTTTATTTAAGCTCTCAATTCTCTTTCTTAAGCAATTCACACCAAAACATAAAACTAGGAGAGTTTAATAGAAATATATAATTTTTATTTTTAATCAAATTTATTTAAATCTTTAAGAAAAATTTTAAATATATAAATGCAGTTGCTTTTTAGTTATTTAATGCATTTTATAAATTTCAATTACAGATATTTTTTTTTTATTTCAATAGGAATATTTAGTTTGCTTTGTTTTTATTTTCTGATTAAATATTTTATGTTATATCATTTCTATCGGAAGTTCTCAACCTTTTTAGTTCTTAACCTATATGTCAGCGAAATGACATCTGTCACCATGTGTCAAAACAAGTAAAACTATTGATGACAGCTGTCACGATGTGTCAATTGAAGATAAACTGTTTGCTATTAGATTGAAATAGAAAATATTAAAACAATTGCATATAAATATTTTGAATTCAAATATGAATATGGCTTTAAAGCAAGTATTTATCATAGTTTATGTATTTTACGTATTGTAACTAGGTTCAATTTTTGGATATTTGCATTTTATTAAAGTATTGTTGTTAAACATTTAAAGAATTTCAAATAATTCACTTCATTTTATAATTAATTCCTGATTTATTGTTTCAATTTCAATTATTATTATGCAGTTAATATTATTATTCATATTAATATTAAATACAATTGATTTTAAATGAATTTAAAAAATTTATTAAAATTACAGTGTTTTAATTACAATATTTCGATTAGTTAAATAATTTAAATATAATAAAACTCTAGTTTTTTATTAAGGAAACTAGAGTTTTATTATATTTAAATTATTTAACTAATTTAAATATAATAAAACTCTAGTTTTTTATTACTTAACAATATTGAAGTATACATGTTTTCTGTTATGAAAGACAACAATTTAATTATTTTAATTAATTATAAATCATTTTAACATAAGAAAATTTTAATACATAATAACATTTAAAGTATGGTTTTAAAGTCATCTGTTCACAACATCTTGGTTTGTAACAAAGTTTCGAAAGCAATATTTCATTTGGCATGAATAAAATCTTCTATATAAAATTTGATATCAAATCCATTTATTACCGGAATCGAGATGCAGACAATAAATCTTTTACTCTGTTTTACTATGTCTGCGAATCCTCAATAAAAAGTTTCACAGGAAATATATTCTTACTTAAAATTTCCATTTCCATTTCCATTACAACATTAACTGTTAATATGAAGTAAATACAATGTAAAGTATTTTTCTCTAAATTGTGAATCAGTCCGGTTACTATAAATTTAAAATTTTCATTGACAAAATCAAAATTAATTCTACAATTAATACAAAAAAATATGTTTATTAACTAAAACGTCTCTTTTTGTGCTGTTTATTTTAATTGGAATTTAAAGTCCTCGATTAGTCCGGATTCACACAGTGAGAAAATAAACAAATAAAATGATTTTTGAATTATTGAATAGTTTCGATTTTATTCGATCATTTTTTTTTTAATCATTTATATTTTATACCAAAAATCTATAAGTTTGGTCATTTCCTAAATAATTAGTAATTAATTCTATTAAATAAATAGATTTAAGATAAATATTTTGTATTATTTTTAATGTTCGGAATAAGACAAATTCAATAATGGAAATGTAAGATTGAGAGAATTTCTATTTAAAATTGCGCTTCCGTTCGCTAGATTTCGCGTTTGAAGGGAGGATGGATGAAATGCGTTTTAGGGGTTGGAGCGAAGTATTTGTGGGGATGAGGGTGAAGTGTGTTTCTTGAGGAGGGAGGGAAGGAAGGAGCGGAATGCAAGTGAGAATTTCGCAGATTGCTGATTCGAGATTAAGATTTCACCTCGTCTCGTCCCGCTTTTTATCCTTAACGGCACATTTGAAATTTAATAAAACGTTTAGCGTTTTATCTCCACGCTCACACTGAAAAAAAACAACCGTCGTAATTAGGTAACGGCAGCCTTTAACAATTTAAAACCGTAGCAGTGAATTACATTTAATATATTATTATTATTGTTGTTGTTATTATTGTTCATTTCTTCCTTTTGCAGGAATTGGAGTGGATCAACACACTCGACAGATACAGACGTTCATCAGAGGAGGTAATAACAATTTTTATTTTTTGGTTTTTCTTTTAATACTGTACTCGATTGAACGGAAAATCTACTATTTTTATACAGAATTTACTCTTTTTTAAATACAGAATTTGTTAGAGTAAAATTTACTTGTGATTGATTATTGCTCATTTCAGTGGATGAAATAATATTCAATTCATTTCGCTTATTTCAAAAAATAAAACCCCACGCTGTTATGAGCAATAAAATCATTTTTAAATTCGTTAAATAATAAGAATTATTCTGTGTTTGTTGCAGAAATGAATACTTTGTCTATATTTTTAATATTATATCATAATCGGGTCATTTTGACCCATACCGCGTTAGTACAGGCGTTTTATTTATTTGTCCGCTAAAGTCCTCGTTTTCCACTAATTCACTTTTTATATAAATAATAAGAGTTATCTTGCATTAAAGTCCGCACTTTAAGGTAGACTTTAATAACAAAGACAAAAATACTTGAATATGAATTGAAGTACGTATTTTATTTCCTTATAATTTATTAAATAATAAGGATTAATCTGTGTTTGTTGCAAAAATTAGAACTTTGCTTATGTTACATAATAATCGGGTCATTTTGACCCATAGGTAGAACATATGTTTTATTTATTTGACTGTTAAAGTACTCGTTTTCCCATAATTCGCTGTTTGTATAATTAACAAGAATTATAAGAAAACTACGTTAAAGTCAATCTTCTATGAAATATTAATGTTTGTTCATATAAAACGATCTTAATATTTCTCTTGTAATAAGTCACTTTATTATAAAATAGAACGGAAAATCTATTTTTTTTATAGACAATTTACTCGTTTTTAAATACGGAATTTGTTAGAATTGAATTTGGTTGTGAGACTGATTATTGCTCATTTCTGTATATGAAATAATAATCAATTAATTTCCATTTTTTTTTTGTTTGGGTCAAAGGACGATTATTTAATTTTTATTTCCGGCAATGTAAAGATTAAATACAATATAAAAAAATAGAGAATGTGCGATTAAAATGAAAAGGGACGTTGAAAACCGGATGGGGGAAGTTGAGGAAATATTATACTTCAGATTTACGAGGCGAATGCATATTTCAATGGGCTGACACATTCCGAAGTTTCGGTTAATATATTCTGTGTGAGAATTTTTAATACGCCGTAAAGCGCATGTTTATTGTCCAAGTTTTAACTGCAATTTTTCACAAAAGCGAAACTTTCACGCCGAAATAGTTTCCAAAATAATAATAATCAAACGCATTCGTCGAATTAATCATTGTTTCCTTTCTATTTTTTAAAAAAAGCTTTAAATGTAAATACCCAGTTTACTTTAACTCGTAACATAGCTTAAACATAGTTGTTTTATATTTATACAATAATTTTTAATTTACGTTAAGGATATTATTGATAAGACAAAAGCACTTGAATATGAATTGAAGTATGTCTTTCTCATAAAGTATATAAGAAATATTAAAGTTTATTCATATAAAACGAAATTGACAATTGTCTTGTTTAGGACTTTTGTAAGAAGTTGTTTCATGTCATAGTATAGCGGTAGACATTTGCTTTTTTGGTAAACTATCCAATAGAAGTTTTTACCATTATATTCTTCTGTAATTTGTTGGTTGGCTGCCGTCTTATAGGTTAACTTCAGTATATTGATGCTCTGCGATTCCACTATTTCCTTTCACTGTGAATCTGCTGTTATCCTTAACACTGTCATTGTCCATCGACTTGGCTGAAGGTCCATATGCTGAACCTCATTCATTTGACTGTACATCTGTGATGAACGTTGGCCCTATTGCTGCAAGCACCGAGAGGGCTCACAAAAGACCAGGATTCGAACCGGTGCCCACGGAATCGTGTTTGGTTTTTTTTTCATTAAACTTGTATACAAATTAAAAGTTAATTCCATTTTCTTTGGAATCTTAAATATTCGTTTCGTTTATAAGAAGACTAAGAAACAAGAATGCTGCAACATGCATGAAGTTGAAGTGCACGTGCGGCCCTAGGCTAAACTTTGCCTTATATATCACACACAGATGTACGATTACTTTACACCTGTTGTATCCAACCACTTTACATGATAAATTATTATTATATTCAAAGCAAGTAGTAAGTAACTTATTACACTATTCATGAACTTGTGTTTAGTTAATTCGAAATGTTTTTGAATGAATGAATAAGACGGAAATTTAATTTATTTATTTACATATTTTCTTCTATTTACTTTTCGACAACTTTTTTTTATTATATAATTTTCATTGTAATATAAGGTAGATAAGGACCGCATAAAAAAAATGGCACAAAAAAATATTCGAAATTTTCATAAATTCTTGCATCGCACTTAGAAAATACACCAAAGATTTACGAAATACATGAGAAAGTGCATCCAAATAAAATAAATAATTAATGGAAACATTTTAAAAACATATAATTTCTCATTGTAAATATGGAGAAATACATAATTCACTGCTACTCGTGATAATCCAAAACGCGCATTTTCTTATAATGAATTGGTCCAAAATCAACTAACAGAATCGTTTGAGCAGGCTATACATATATATGCACACTGATAGAAAACATTACAATTATGCCAACGCTGTTAGAATTTGTGAAAAAGGACCTCACAAAAGCAGATTCTACTGTATATATATTTTTCTTTAAAAAAGTTTTATATTTTAATTGCAATAAACTTTGTTATTTTTATAATATGAATGAATATTTTGATTGTTTGTACGAAAGGTCACTTGAAGGATTTTTAATGTTTTCATATTTGTTTATTTGAGTAATGCATAATTATTTGTAATTACACCATTATTTTTTTTCTTCTATAAAATTAGATGTATAAACGATGAGAATAACAAGTTTACCAGTTATTTATAATTACTTTGCAAATGTGAAATTCAGAAAGTGAAAACTATTTTTTTTAGTTGTGTAAATAGAATTTGTAAATAGAAAATTTTAATTTTTACAGCACAACAAATTCAAATAAATTACAAAAAAATATGGATTAAAATTATTTGAAATTAAATTATAAGTCTTTAATTACATTTTTATTAATTATTAATCAATAGTAAGAAAAAATGTCGAATTAGTTGGTGATAATATTTCTCGAATTTAAATTAATTCTTTATAAAATGAATGTTTCTAGTATATTTAATGATACATAAATCCAATTGCAATGAAAAGCAGATTTTTTTGTAGGATTTTCGAAAAAAAAATATTCGGAGATTTTCCCATCGTTTTCATTTGTTTCCTAATACGTAACATATCCAATTAGAAACCAGCTAATTTTTAGAAAATTTGTCAAGATTTTTGGTAAAAATAGATTTTCTGTGATACAAAATTTTCATTTATATGAAAAACTAATACATTTTTGAAATTTTACTGATAAATTTCCAAGATTTTAGATTTACATTTTTGTAAACAGTTTTTCAATAAAATAAAATAAAATCAAATTATTTCTCTTAATATTCATTTTTCTCCTAATACATAACAAATCCAATGTAAAGAAAGCAGCTAATTATAGAAAATACGAAATATGAAAATATCAAAAAATAACTATTTCTAGATTTTCTCTTAACATAAAAAATTCAGTTTTATTGGTACTTTGTATAATACTATGTCAGTTTATTTTTTTTTTGTTAAACTTTCATCATTATAGATTTACAGTTGGAAAACAGAAATAATGCAGAACAAAACAGTTTCCTTTTGGAAGATTTAGATGCAACTATAAAACTACGTTCCTCACCTTAATTAGGTTTAAATATTTGAGCGAAACACTTTATCAGCATATATCATGATGTTGAAAATACTTTCGGAGAGCTAAATGTGAGCGTTCTGCGGAAGAAACATAAATTATGCAACTTTTTTCACCCATCTCCTCCTCCCTACAACCAGTATTTATTTAATGCCCAGTAAATTTTAACGTGCGCCATAAATCTTCCGTTCTTTGTGGCCAGGAGCATCCACATCGATTTCACCTAATTAGATTTGCGTCCGACCATTAACCAACACACAAAAAAATACACAATCAAATTGTTTCGTCGTAAGCGAAACATTTATTTTAGAAAAATTTAATAATCGAAATTGCACACAGCAATTACCAATAATTGCGGACACGAAAAAAAATAATAAACCGAGAGAGAAACGTGCGCGAAATTAGTTTGGATCTAGGAAATTGAGTATTAATAAAAGTTGCGCTGTTGCTTTACTTCTGGTAGAGTTATTCTTCCTTTGTTTCGACGAAGGGTCGCAGCAATCTGTTGAGTGCGTTACATGCATGATTGGAGAATAACAAAAAAAGGGAGGGGAAAGAACGATGGGGGCGGATGCGGTGTTTTTCCAGCGTTCCCTTGACGCCTGAAATATGTTTAGCAAATTGATACCAATTTATTTGCTGTCGCTTCGTCCCCTTTCCTCATTCAAGTTTCAGGACGTGTTTCAGGTGCGAAATTAACGTTTGCGTTCTTCGGGTTTTAATTAAAAACATATTATAAATGAATACCGTTGAGGGTGGAATGAGGTGGAGGTATTATGCTTATATTTCCTAGGTGAAGGGGTTAATTTATGGGAAGAAAACACCTAGGACACGGTGTTTGTATATAGCATGAAAGATAACTTCTCATTATCTTGACGCCGAACTTTTGGGGTTGAAGCCAGAAAAGGGTCTAGAGGTGAACAATGACTGGGCTTTATACACACACACACACAAAAAAAGGAGAAGAAGATAGAAGGAAACAACGGACCGTCGCCGCCGCCTCCGCTAAATCCACCGAATTAGTGTCGAACAATGCGGCGCGCCGAAAAGGTGACACGACAATTACATTATGGTCGCGTTATGTAATCTCCTGCGGCGAGGGCACAAACTTTCCGAAAGTCGTTATGTAACATATATACATACATACTTGGATATATATATATGTATATAAAACGTGTATTTTATGGCCCGCTGCCCCACGGAATTATGATACGACGGGGCGCATTTAAGATTTCCACTAAAT